AATTTTTGTTTTAAGTACCGATGCATGCAAAGCATTCCATTTCCAGAAACAATGCAAAAATGAGGTAATAGGAGTAATAAAAAGTATTAATTTCTAAATAAATAAATTATAATTAAAAATGCAAAAAACAACTATAAAAATAATTAAATAAGAACCCACGATATCTACAAGTTAGTCATAAATTATGATTGTTAAATATAAGGCATTTAAACTCACAAAACCCTGTAAACTATCGATGTTTTGCTTCTAGAGATTTTTTTCTTTTTTTTTGTTTCATTTTGAACTCACTCTATTAACCGCAATCTACTCGCACGAGTGGTTTAAACGCAAAGGAACCGGATACACCGATGCAACTCCAGACGCTGCAAGCTCTCACACACCGCGGCACCCACCATTCACACAAGACCTTGGGAGTTTGGTGCTTTTCTTCACCAATTTTAAAAACTGTGCTTGTTCATTAGGCAAAGAGTAATACTTTCACATAGGCTTTTTTTTAAAAAAAAATAAAAAATAAGGAAACAAAAATAAAAGAAAAGCCCATGAGGCTGGGAGGTGCCTTCTCCCCGTTGCGCAGCTTGCCCAGAGCGAGGATTTGGATTTGCTCCACTCCTTCCCCTGCTTTGCCCCCTGGGACAGCCTGGCTTACAGTGTATGTGGAGAGCAATAATTTGTCCTGCTTCAGTGCTAGCAGTGGTATTAATTAGTGGTTGTAACGCTGTTTGCATCTGCTGCTGCTGGAGCGAGACCCGACGTTCCCTGCAGAGACACATCTTGCAGGACGCCTTGCTACCCTGAGAGCGAAACGGGCTGGCAGGAACTAGAAACCCTCCCCTCCCCAAGAGTGTTTAAAAGTAAAGCAATTCTTATTAATTCCCCTTGTTCCTTTGTACCTCTCTTTTGCTCCCTTACTACATTAAAAAAAAAAAAACATTATATTAAAAAAAAAAGGCTTTTCTGTAGTTGGTATCGATTCTCTGGAGGGTTTTCGGGTAGAGGAGGTAGAGGCCAGGCTCTAACCCCGCTGCCGCTCAGTTCTTGGGGCTGGTGGTCTGCAGTCTATCACAGACCCATTCCCTTGGCACTTCAGGGACTAATGCCTAATTCTACTTTGTGCACAATTATAATGAGACTGATAAATTAGCATTTGGCTCCTTTTTAAATCATCACTTTAGTTTCCATATGGATACAGAGTGAAATGTGTGTGTGTGTGTGTGTGTGTGTGTATATATATATATGTATATATAAAGTGTGTTTGTGTGTGTAGAGATACGTGTGTACTTTGACATGGTTTTGAAGTCCAGTCCCTCTAGAAAGCAGCAAATTCTCCTTTAAAACTGCCTTTGAAATTCCCTTCCTGGGTGGAAATGCTCACATCATCATCATTTTCCTACCAACTACAAAAATTCTCCCCTGGATTAAAAGTAATAAGAGACTTCCAAAATCCCTTGCTTGCTTGTCCCTGTGGGAGCTGGGAAAGAGGGATGTGCGGGAAGGACTGTGGCACTGAGAGTTTTGCACAAAGTCTGCTAGGTTGGGTTTTCCTTTTTAGACACTGCCTTTAGTTAGTGCATCATCTTGTGCTTTTGCATTGCGGAGGAAGGGGCCTCATCACCTTCCTAGTGTGATTTCCAAGGGATCCACCAAAGCACAACTATGGAGGCAGACCCCTATAATCATATTTTTCAACCAACAAAGAGTCTAGGAGCTCTCAAACTCATCAGGCAGACCTGCAACATGGTGCATCCATCATGGTATCCCATGTTGGCGTGAAAGGGTCCATGCCATAGGGACCACAATGCAGAGTGCCGACAATGGCCACCAAGGCTCACAAGAGAAAGAGGTATGAAAAATTACAATTGTCAAGACAGCCTGTGGCCTTCCTAGGATTTGGTATGTCAAGCTACTTCATTAAGATATAGAAATAAAAGAAAGAGAATGCATGTCTATATTGTGCCCCTAGAGAAAGTGTCCAGCACCAGCAGATAAGCAGGAACAAAGCATCTCCCTTTTGCTTCATTCATTTCATTCTCTTTTTTTTTCTTTTTAGGCATCTCTAAATTTGCAACACACTGTAAACACAAGGAAAGGAAGTACATGCGACTGAGGCAAAGAGCGCAACCCTTCTGACTGTAAACAGGATTTTGCTTTTTCGCCTCTTCCCCCCTGAGGGTGGGAAAGTTTGACCTCTCTATTCACCCTCTGCAATGTATTGTTAATCAGGCACCAAAATAAGGAATCTATGAAAAAATATTTGGTGCAAATTAGGTAACAGCAACATGTCCACCACAAGATGAGTAGGGCATCAAACACAACATTTCTTAAGCTAACATGCTCCAGCTGCCATCCATAGAAATAGCTAAAGAATCCCTAACGTGTTTCTACTTAATCAAGAGGTATATATACAATCCTCATGAAATGCAGGATTGACAGGCCAGACTACCACAGCTAGTTCCTTCATGTTCAAGACTAAATCTTCTGCAGCACGGAGTCTCTGAGCGCCGGGAATGCCAGCTCCCTTTCACTGGGCCAGTATCCTGTAGGTGCAATAGCTCCTACTGCTAGATATCATATCGTCAATTCCTCCTTCTTGCTAACGTGCCTGCAGACTTTTCCTTTCAATCAAATGGCTCAGAAGGCAAAATTTTGCTGCAAGGGTTCACGGCCATACGACCTGATAAGGAAAAATGGTGCATCCGGCCAGTTCTTTCAGCTGTCCGAGCCAAGCTGTGTTTCAATGTCCACCCTGCAGATTGGGCACTTCTTGCTGGTGGCCAACCACTGATCCACGCACACTTGGTGGAAGAGATGCATACATGGTAAACGCCTGTGGAAGGAAGATAGCCTTGCTGTTAGGGTCACATGGACAGAGGAGGTCCATGGGCCCAGCCTCAGGAGAGCTGGAAAGGGCCACCATCCTGCCAGGGATGGCAGGTTGGAGATAAGTGTGCTTCTAGGCTAAAACATATGTGGAAAAAACCAACGTGCTCCTGAAGCAGGTTGTTCCCACGATTAGTGGCACTGACTGCAGCTGGCAGACAACTATGAAGAGGCCGAACATCTGCATCCTTCCTGGTGGATAAGAGCTGGACACCATGGCCCAGGGTCACGGGCTTTTACCATAATTTGGCCATCCTTGAAGCCTGGGTGCTAATGCCCCTCAACTCCTCACAACCATCTTGGGGGTCTTCAGACTCCTCCTCCTCCTCTGCCACCTGCAACGTGGCCTGTCACCACCCACTTATGTGGCAGGTGATGCAAACATGGAAAATACTATTAAAAACAACCCTCCTGCTGTTGCAGAGCTCTTTCTATGCATGGCCTGCACCAATGTCCAGGCAATAACATTTGTTTGCCTGCACCCTGCAGAGCTCCATTGGTTTTGTCAGGCCAAGAGTAGGGACCACCCTCCACAACTCATTGCAGTAAGTTTCCCCCCAAAAAAACACATCTGGGATTGCTGGAGAGAGAGGGGAAAAGGGAAGCAGGGAGAGGATCATACCTCACATCTTCTCCATCTTCAAGCATGGATAGACAGATTGTGCACTTCTCGTCGGTGTCTGACTCCTCGCCATCCTCTTGCTCAGCTTGGCCCTCCTGCAGTCTTCTCTGCAGCAAAATCAAAGACATAATTCAGCATGGATTGAACTTTCTAACATTTGCCCAGAATGCAGAGTCAGAGGAAGGCGAATGATGTGGACTTCATCTATGGTCTGAATCCACAAGGCTAGGGAAGTCTGACTGGCCCAAATATTCAGGGTGGAAGGGATGCCAGCTCCTGAGCACCCCACAGGCCATGGGGATGGTGGAAGCACTCCCAAGGACCAGGAAGCCCCAGGGGAGCACAACTGGTGACCCACTGAGGTCCTTTCTCTCCATGCCCAACACTCCTGTCCATGAGTGCTGCCACCTCTCAGCTCACCTTCTTGTACTTGTGTGGGAAGGTGAACCTCTCGATGGTGTTCTGCACGGCGCCCCGGCTCACGCTGCCCAGCCTGTCCTCCAGCTGCAGCAGCTCCTTCAGCAGAGAAACAACAGGAAAAAGCCATCAGGAGAATGCCCAGCTCACAGATCCCATGGGCAAATGGGAGCCACCAGCAGGAACCACCAGGCCCTGGCCCATGAGGCTCCTTCCCCACTGTTTCATCCAGGGAAATTTCCATGGAAAGCAATTCGGTTGGGCTTTAATGAAGAATTTGAGCCCTGGAACTTGAGACAATAAGCTCAAGTCTTGAACTAGGATTTCAAGGTGCAGAACTGAGACCTGGTTGTGAAATATTGCAGAAATTAGAGTGAAATTTCATCTCCATTTGACAGGCAGGAAAATGAAAGTCTGGAAAAAAATCAGCATTTCATTTAGAGACATAAACTGAGCCAGAGTCAACCTCAGGCAGATCCAGATTAGACCATCCTTTACCAAAACTGTTGAACTCCTTTGCCTCTCTGTTAACACTAAAACTGCTGGAGGCCTCCCCAGCTGCTTGTGAACATTTCATCAAATCACTTTTGCCAGCTGATGTAGGGACAGGGGTGATATTTCCAAGCTGGCCCAATCTTTGCCCTCTCTTTGGCTGACCTGAGAGGCCTGAGCAGAGCCCATATCTCCATCCTCCCCCTTCCTACATCTCCTCTGCAATTACCACGTGGCAAAGCGGAGCTGTACAAATTTACATCAAAGCTTCCACGGGGTTTAGAAATTAAATAACTACTCCAGTCCATGAGATACGTACTTCATAGCTTTCTCGCACAGCGGATGTGTGCCTGTTTGGGTTCGGGCCCTGAAGAGCAAGTAGCTGAAGCTGAGGATAAGGGTAATTTCCGATTTCATGAACAACCTGCAAGAAGCAAGGAGGAAAGATAAAGTCATCTGTATCAGTACAGCAAAAATCCCTCATGTATCCTGATTTAGAATAAGTACTTTAAACATTCAGAATTAAAGAGCAGACTGACACCTTCACCAACAGAAGCCTTTTAATAATCAGGAACAAAATTAGGTATATTAAATAGCTCTCATAAATTGATAACCAAGAACATACATTTAGTCTGAAAAAAAATGCTTCTAATAAGTTTTGCTGCATCTTTAACATTGCGGCTCCAAGCCCTTAATCCAGTGCAGATTCTTCATCAGCTGAGCTCTGAATTTTCAGCCCTGCTATAGGGCTCAGGTGTCAAGATCTGACCCCAAGAGCAGCAGGCAGGAGGAAATAGCACCACTTTGGGGTCTCCAAGGATGCCTTAAGGACTAGCAGAGCCCTGCATGGTTCAACTCAAAACACAAGAACCTGCAAGAAGAAGGGCCCCTAAATAACCCTGGTCTCTGCCCATGCAACAAATCATGCAAAAACTCTACAGACAACACAGAGGCCAATGCAGCCAGCAGTTGCACGATGGGGACAGATCCAAATGAGACACCTCCCATAAAGCCATCTGCACATGAAGACCTTTTCCCAAGGACCAGGGCTGGATTTACCCTCCATTACATGCATCTGTCTGGTGTAGCATCACCAATCGCATCTCTCTGGAGCAGCTGAACATCCTCCCTTGCCATTTTCCCCGCTTCCCTCTCTAATCCAGAGCACGCCAATACGACTCAATCCTTTCGGATGCTGCCTCCCACAGCTGGAGATAAGCGGAATCCTCAGCAGAGAGGTGATGGAGAGATAGCAGCCTTTATTTTGACTGCTTGCTGGCAGGCAATGCATAAAATTTCCCGGTGAAAGCGCTTCGCTTACCATCTGTGCTGAGGACGTGCTCCTGGGGAAGTGGTGTATCCGCGGAGTAGCCAAGTAATGCTGATAGGGCTGTGGGACTGGCCGGACCTGGAACCGGGCATGAGCCAGGCCCGTGTCGACACTGAGATCCCTGCAGGCACAAGACCAAAAAACACACAATTTCGGTGGTGTGCTTTTCAATTCCAGGTCCCCCATCTGTTGGCTTTAATGACTTAGATCATGCTCATGGTAGAAGAGAGCAACATCCCCTTGGTGAGATCTTGTCTGCTGCAGGTGCCTCTGCCTTGAAGCCTCAATCCAGAGCAACTGCTCTAAAGCGAGTTTACTTGGATTTACATTTCCCCAGTCAGCACAAAAGAGCAAGGATGCTGCGGGTATCTTGTGTAAGCAAGGGTTAAGAGCTTTTTAGACACAACCCAATTTCAAAGTAAGAGTGTGGAAGAATTGTTTGAAAGCAGGAACTAAGAAGAAAACTAGGGCCTAACAGAAGTTTTGGCATTACAAAAGCTTGCTTGGGGTGATACACAGTTGCCACTTCCAGGATGGCTGGTACCCACGGACTCGGCTCCTCCACGGTTCCCTAGGCAACACAATCTGCTCTCCTCGCGGCTGCAAAGGGGAGTAAGGGAGGATGGAGTGGAGCGAAGACACCGCAGCCAAACTCTGTTGCACTCCCTGTGCTGGGCTGCTGATAAGCTGCACAGTAGCTGTCCAATGGGAGATATACCATAACGTGTCTGGTGCTGAGCCAGCAAAGGTGGCAAATCACTCCTTTCGGATGAACTTTACTTGAACTTTGCTCCTCATAAGCTCATTATAATGTCAAAACACACCACCCCAAAAGTTACCCACCTCTGAGGTACGACCACTCCTCACTGAGCATGTGCTCTAGATTTTCGATTGAACGTCCACTTGAATGTAAAGAAAAGTATAAAAGGTGAATTAAGGATGAAAAGTAGGAGGGAAGAATACATTGTAACTCTTGGGTTAGTCAACGGGCTGAGCCCCCTTTCCTCCCCGCACACTGGAACGCCGCCTGAGGAGACTCGAGACTGAGAGCCCTCTCCCATCTTCTGGGGTGAGTGACGATTGCACATTTGTACATCAGAGCTAGCTAAAAACCCCATGCTGCAGTAGAGAATTTCCTGTACTGGCATCCGAAACCTGCTTTGTAAATGTTGCATTTGAATAAATCCTGCTGTTTGTGAACTCGACTACTTGTTTGGGGGGAGGTGATCGGACCTACAGTTGACAGACTGTTTGTGAATCCGATACTGGCAGAGTCGAGCTTATAGTTGATCACACTATTTGGGAACTCGATTCGCTCCTAGGAAGGCGATCGGACCTACGGTCCACGGACTGTTCGTGAATCCGATACTGATTTGATATCTCCTCCCCCTCCCCCCCATCACCACCACTACGGTTTTCAAACTTCAACATTTCACAAAATTGGCGTAGTTGGCAGGATGTCGATAAAGGAATTCCTATGGAGACAGAAATGTGGCCCCTCAGAAGGTGGGGAAGATTGGGCCAGAGATAATTGGTCAGATCCTGAAAAGGTTTTGCAAAGAAT